CATGATTTTGCTAACAAGTACCAGACTTAATTAAGGCCTTTGTTAAGGAATTAAAAATAGAAACTATTGAATGAAAAATACTATTAAAAAACGATTTCTCTTAACAAATAAAAACTACGAAGTATTTTAATATCTTAACAATTTGAAATATATATTTTTAAATGATTACAAATATTAATAAATTGATTCATTATAGAGAATACAAAACCATGGTTATCAGTAGGGGTGTAAATGGGCCAGGCTGGCCCAGCCCAGCCTACAGCCCGACTTACATTAAGTCTGGCTTGGCCCGACCTTTCAGAAAAAATAGAGTAGGCTTAGACTTTTAAAAAAGTTTTTTTTAACAAATAATCCGTAGGCCAATTTTGTCAAGCCTGGCCCAAAGCCTTGTAGGCTGGCCTATTTAATTTATTAAAAATAAAATAATAAAATAAAATTTATTTTATGTGGCATGGCAAATTATCAATACCAACCCTAATTTTTAGATGAATGATATTCTCTTGTAGACTTTATTTCAGCACCCAATAATTGTATTTTTCTTATTTTCTCCATTTCTTTGACTCTACTCCTCTATGATATACATTCTAAAGCTGGGGTATTATGTTGACTCTTTCTTGTTTGTTATTTTTTTCTTATGAGAAGTACTAGTGCATTCATGAATGAAACTTTCTTTGCTCTATACAATTATTTTCTTTGCTTAGTATCTACAGTTGTAGGCCTACAAGGCCTGTAGGCCATGTCAGGCTTTCTTTTAAACTTACTTTTAAAAATAGGCCGAGCTTGGCCTACAAATAAAGTCTTTGATAGGCCAGTAGGCCAGATAGGCTGATTTTTTTTTAGGTAGGCTTAGGCCAGGAAGTCCAATGCCCAGCCCAACCCTGCCCATTTACACCTCTAGTTATCAGTATCATACCATACATGATATGATACGATTCACAAGCCTAATAATACGTATTGTGAGGTGTATCAAAAAGGGGTTTGTATCGAACAATACGATACATGTATCATATGATATGAAAATTAAATAAAAAATTATAATTTTTAATATAAAAAAAGAAATAAAGATTTTATTTGTGATTTAAATTAAAAAATCTAAAAAATTATTATTAATGAGGAAAAAAATAAAGATTTGATTTTAGATTTAAACTCAAATAGCAATATGAAAAATTTGTATTAGTAAATGAAATAATTAAATAAATATTTTAAATCTCTAAGGAAGAAAGATTTTATTTTTGAAAACCACTAAGAGGCTATAAGCTTCCAAGTTCCAACGAATCCAGCCAACAATAACGATTTTGGAAAAAAACCTTAGATTGTTGAACAAAAAAAGAGAAATGAGTCAAATAACTACTCTAATGAAAATGATGATGGATTAATTATATCAGTAATACATGTTTATAGTGATAATATTAGTTTTAATTATTGATGAGTAGGAGAATATATAGTTTGCACTTTAGTTACTTATGTATTTTGTTTATTGGATCCTTTTAGGAATTTGGATTTATATAATATTATTATTAATTATATTATATATATATATATATATATATATATATATATATATAATTTTATATTTCTGTATCTTACGATTCGATATGATTTATGATATACAATACAAAAAATCGATCAAACGATATACGATACGTATTGCGATTCAACAATCTTATACAAAACCACATTATTTTCCGTCGAAAACATTACAATAGTGCAACTTATTTATTGAAAAAATATATTATTATTTTATGGATGAAAGATATTATTTTTTCCCTTTATTCAAACTTCAAAATTTACCCGCTTAAAAAAAATATAAAATCAAAATTTGTCATCTATAATAATTAAATGCGGAATCTGGTACCAACTTCAAAACGGGTCCACAATACTTATATATGTAAGTTATTTAATGCTTTTCTAACCCACCATGTGTGGCTACTTGCAGTCTTAAAATAGATTAGTGCTACAAACATGTGCGAATGATTATCTGCTTAACAGAAGTATAATGACTTCTCAAAGCTGTTAGATGGGGGTGCTTTGAATAGTATAATCCATGTAAAAGATTCAAAAGATAGTTTGATGGGGGGGGGGGGGGGGGGGGGAAAGAAGTTTGTAACTGAAAATAAACCTATATCTAATACTGAATATAGAAATTAAGACCTTTTTAAAGGGCTTTTATTAAACTAGAAATATTATAAAGTATTATTAATGTTATGTACCTGAAGAATTTGAGGGTTGTTAGATAAAATGAAGATTTGAAAGGGGAAAAAAACGTGATTTGATTTAAATATACGTTTTCACTGAATATAAGCATAACATGTCAACACTAATAAGGCGGCTTAGAAAAGAGAACATTCAGTCAGCACTGCGTCTCTCCCATTCAACACTACAGTTTATTGGTGTTTTTCTCGTGGGAACGTTTAATTTCCCGGAATTAAGTTTTAATTTTAAAAAAATCCAATAAAATATTATCATAAAACAAAAAAAAATTGAAATTGTTTTTTGTAAATTAATGTAAATGCTAATACATAGAAAACTTATTATTATTATTATTTTCATAATATGGTGATTAATTGCTGGTGTTTGATTCAGCGGCGGACCTATTTGATTGCAAATATAGGCAAATGCACACATAAATTTAGTCATACATTTTTTTTTTAATAAAGAAGAGATATATTTTTTAATTAATTAGGAGTGTCACTCATGGAGAATTTTAGTGGGTGCATTGCCAAGAATATAAGTACAGATACTAAGAAAGAAATACATCTTATTTACTGGTTATGTTTTAATAGTTTTATATCGTTAAGTTGATTACTATTTTTTTATGTTAAGTTCAAATTTTCTTTTCTTTTCTTTTATTGTTTGAGGATTATATCGCTCATATTATATGAACGAAATTTTTTGTCAAGTTATATAAATTATAAAAAGTGAGATGACACATTATTCAATGAATTGGTCTTGTCTTTTTCTTAACATGACAAAAAATTTGATTCATGTAATATGAGAAATATAAATTTCTTTTTGTTTAAATTCTTTTATTTTTAATGCATTTAAAATTTTGTTTAATTTTTTTTTCTGAGACACTGCCTCAAATCTCCTCCACTAAATATTCGAATTAAATATGCACACATAAAATTTTCGGCATCCGACACTGGTTTGATTGCTTGTGTTCTGACGTTATGCATTATGCAGTTACAACTTCTGGGCGTGAATGATGAAGTCATCTCATATTCTCATCTTTAGGCAGCCCCACACGAACAAAACAAAACCTTCACAGAGATTTTTTTTTTTTAATAAAGGACAAAGAAGACAAGGCTGGCTACAAGCGCCAACCACGAGTCTTTGTGGGCCTACGTAACAACACCCTCCCATATACATATATTTTTAAATTTAATCATTAAAATAAACTAATTTTTAACCTTGAAAATTTAACTTTCAATAAGTTTTGTATATTTGTATTACGTCAGCAATTTTATATTAAAATGCGTGCATAACTGTAAATCAGATTGGAATACATTGCAAACTAGGTCTACTAATTTAAGATTTAATAATTTCTTTATATTAACATTTTATTTAATACAATGCTCATTTGTAAAATTGATTGATTCAAGCTGTGTATTTTATGAATTTATTAAAATTGAGATTTGATAGCCGCCGTTCATGACACAGGAGGAAATTACGCATGCATCATCTTTGTCGCACACTCGTAATTCAACCAATGAGATTTTACAAAGTATGGGCATTGGCTCCTCCCATTTGCCGAGGAAAAAAAAAATCTAAGCAGGCGACTAATTCTACACACAAAGAAATCATGATTTTATTTTACATCATTTGCATGGATTAAGTCAATAAACTATTTTTTGAGTATAAAATTATTTGTTTTTTTATGGAGATTCAAATCATTCATTGTTTACTTACCGAATATAAAAATAATAGAGAAAGAAAAGCATGCAGTTTGTCTTGGGTTCAGAGTGATGAAGCCACTTGCAGCTGAACGCCAAACTCGCACGTTCTGTGCTTTCAACTTTTCAGCAGCTGATTTAGCGTTACAGTCACTCCCACCTTTCCTACTAACTAGAGACAGGAGCTGCTGGTAAAAGGAAAACCGCGTGGGGAGCAAATTATTATTGTGTTTTATATTTGTTACGTTACTTAACATAACATAACTTTACTTTCCTATACACAATAAAAAAAAAAGAGAATGAAATAATAAAAAAGAGAGAAAGATATGACCTCACATCTTTGGTGTGTGTAGTAAAATGGAATTATTTTACATAACATAATAAATATAAAGGATTCGCTTTTTTTTATAATTATTGTGCAGATAAGTTATCTGCAATAAGTTCAATACGATGTTATTTTAAGACAAAAATTATGATATTTTATAATTTAAAATTATTTCAAGATTATAATAATCTTTATATTTATAATTTTTAAGATTTTAATATTAAAACGATATCGTTTTAAAAATAAATGCAGATAACTTATTTTCAATTACACAGGGAATATTTTTTTCAAATATAAAACCCATTAGTATTATCGAGTTTCGCAAAATGCACCATTATTATGAATTTTGTTGCAGGCCATGATGATTTCTGAGCTCTTCCGTGACTGTCAACATATTGAAAATTGACCATCCAAATCCTAACTTGTAAGTTGTAGCCACACAAGAACTATCCACTGCATGTCGCACTCAACCTGCAAAACATGACCACATATTTACTTACGTTCGAGCGTGATATTAAATGTACTGACAAATCATCTAACGCACCACATATCCATCACAAACGAACTAGTAAAGTATTATATTGGGAATAATTGTGTTGTGTCTCATTACTCATTATTATTATTTTTACAATTATTATGGTTGAGTCGGCAAAGAAGGGAAGCCAATGCGACGATTGTCCATACACGTGTCCATCAAGATGTGACATCTCAACCGTCCGATCAAATCAATGATTAAAGCAAAGACAGACACGCTATAAATTGGAAGAGAGGCAAACATGTTATTGAACTTCGCTACGCTGGATTGAGCGAATTGAAATAAATTGAGTTAGATTCATAAGAGTTGTGGGCAATTATTCATTTGAACACATCCTTGTGTAGGGAATGCAGAGAGATGAGAGGACATTGTCTCACTCCAACTGAGGTAGTTGAAACTGCCAAACGCGGAATCCGCGGCAGAAACTGCCACCGCAAACACGTCGAGGACGGGTGATTGAGAAAGAAAAAAAAAACCAATCTCCGACCACCGTAAATTAATTTCTTCCATTTCTCTAATTTTCCACCATAGTATTATATTATTATTATTATTCATGATGTGTGACAAAGGCAGCAGCAGCAGTAGCAGCGGGGAGGGTCATTCAACTTTGCTCCATGGGAAGTACGAGCTGGGTCGGGTTTTGGGTCATGGAACATTCGCGAAGGTGTATCACGCGCGGAACTTGCAAAACGGGAAAAACGTGGCGATGAAGGTTGTTGGGAAGGAGAAAGTGATCAAGGTTGGGATGATGGAACAGATCAAGAGGGAGATCTCCGTGATGAAGATGGTAAAGCACCCAAACATCGTCGATCTTCACGAGGTTATGGCGAGCAAATCCAAGATCTACATAGCCATGGAGCTCGTTCGTGGCGGCGAGCTCTTCAACAAGGTAGCCAAAGGTCGATTGAAGGAAGATCTCGCCAGATTCTACTTTCAGCAGTTGATCTCCGCCATCGATTTCTGCCACAGCCGCGGCGTTTACCACCGCGATCTCAAGCCGGAGAACCTCCTCCTCGACGAAGACGGTAACCTAAAAGTCTCCGATTTCGGCCTCAGCACCTTCGCCGAACACCTCAGGCAAGACGGGTTGTTGCACACCACGTGCGGGACTCCGGCGTACGTGTCGCCGGAGGTTATTGCGAGGAAAGGCTACGACGGTGCCAAAGCTGATATATGGTCTTGTGGGGTCATACTTTACGTGCTTCTCGCTGGGTTCTTACCCTTTCAGGATGATAATTTGGTAGCTATGTACAAGAAGATTTACAAGGGTGACTTCAAATGTCCACCTTGGTTCTCTTTGGAAGCACGGAGGCTCATCACGAAGCTCCTCGACCCGAACCCGAATACCCGAATCTCAATCTCCAAGATCATGGACTCGTCCTGGTTCAAGAAATCGGTGCCCAAGAGCATGGTGAAGACGAAAGAAGAGCGTGAGTTTTATTTAGAGGACAAGTGCGAGAAATCGAAGCAGCCGGCGACGATGAACGCTTTCCACATAATCTCTCTCTCGGAAGGGTTCGATTTGTCGCCGTTGTTCGAGGAGAAGAAGAGAGAGGAGAGGGAGGAGCTGAGATTCGCCACCGCGGGGACTCCGAGCATTGTTATATCGAGACTGGAGGAGGTGGCGAAGGCGGTGAAGTTCGACGTGAAGAGCAGCGAGACGAAGGTGAGGCTTCAGGGACAGGAACGTGGGAGGAAGGGGAAGCTGGCTATTGCGGCTGATATTTACGCCGTGACGCCGTCGTTCATGGTGGTGGAGGTGAAGAAGGACAACGGTGATACATTGGAGTATAATCAGTTCTGCAGCAAAGAGCTGCGTCCTGCTCTCAAAGATATCTTGTGGACTTCGCCTCGTTCTGAGAATTCGACACCTGCTTGAATCTCCCAACTCTAGAATACTATGTTGTGTGATTCTCGTTCTTTGTTATTCTTGTTTAGAATTAATTCTTCTCTGTTATGCCTCTTGTATCTCTGTCACCCAATATGGTAATTGCCGTAGCCCATGATTAAAAAGAGAGATTAAGAATCGAAATCAATGATTCGGTGTATATGTTGATTTTGTTATGTGTTTGTGTGTTGAATGTATGTGTAATTGGACTTCTCGGGCTTACTGGCTTAGTTGAAATTCCTTTTTCCTTTTACTGATTTCATTAGTATCTTTGTTTTGTTCATTATTTTGCTTTATCCATCAAGAAGATTATTATGACACAACCCCAACGCTTACCTAATACGAAATCGACTCCTTTGTGCCGTTTATGTCACGAATCCCATGTTTGTGATAAGGATTTGGTTGTTTGGATTACATAACCATCCATCCCACCCGCTGAAGAATTCATTCAACATCAGTTTTGGCGGCTAGGTCTTGGAAATTGGAATAATAATTATCTTAAAGTAAATATGTTTTTCAACTGTGTAAATAAACGTGTGTTAATCTTTGAATTTTAAAATATTAAGATCCGTTCAGTTTAACAAAGAAGCTTAATTTTCTTTTTATTTTATTTTTTAAAATCTTTATATTTGAAAGCCCAGCAGCATAAATACTTTGTACATTTACAATTTTTTGGTGGCTTAGGTCAACGTTTCTGGACGAGGCTATATATGAGATTCGGTATCAGTACGAAATGATTCGATTAATGATCAGGTTAGGTATGAGCGGAGACAATATTTGCACGTTACTTATGTGCCGATTATATACAAAGTTTTTGTTAAGAACCTATATTGTTTAGTCAAAGGACTAAGAACCAATTACCGTATAATACATAACCAACAACTCTTGCGTTGCATTTTAATATTTTAACTCAGTAAATTAATGAAATATATTAATTTTTTAATTATTCAAAATAGAAAATATTAAATAGAAATACAACAAATACTTAATTTTTTAAGAACTCAAAAAATCATTTTTTTTCTTTAAATAAGTTAAAGAGTATTAATAGATATAATTTATCATAAGTTTAACATTCTTCAAAATTTAAATAAAAAATGTACTAAAATTATATTCAAATTAAAAAAAAATAAAAATTCCAATGACTATGCCCTTTATATTATCTCTTTCTCTCTTTTGTGACTTGGACATTTCACAGGGCGCTATATAGTACTTTCAATTATTAATGGAGACTGCAAAGTCTAACTTTATCTGTTTCAACCAAACAGCTTGGATATAATTGTCAATTATTGAGTGCCCTTCATCTCCTTCTTTCTTTCTCCTACGTCTCTTTTCTATGGTGAAGGTTTCTTTGGATTACAACCAAGGAAATTTTGCAGCTCTAAGAGTATGGTAAATTGATATAATATATCAGACTTGATAATTAAAATAGAGCTAGTACGTCACCCTCTAAAGTATGGTTGCACAGTTTGTACGTACTATACAAATGTTGACAGAAGATTATTTGACCATTTTGTCCATCGTTAATTAATTAATAACCATTTTGCTCCTGATTCAAAACTATCCACCAATTTGTCCCTCTTTAATCGATTAATTTGCATTTTTAATCGATTAAATGGTTGTTGGGAGATTTAATCGACTAAATCTCCCTACTTAATCGATTAAAAAATCACACTGACTTGTTTCTGTTGGGAGATTTAATCGATTAAATAAGGAGATTTAGTCGATTAAATCTTCCAACAACCATTTTTGCATGTTTTGACCATTTAATCGATTAAAAATGCAAGTTAGTCGATTAAAGAAGAGCAGATTGGTAGATAATTTTGAATCAGGGACAAAATGATTATTAATTAATTAATGAGAGGCAAAATGGTGAAAAAGTCCATGACAGACCCACCTCCAGCCCAACAAGCCCGTCCAATAGGGCTCAACAAGAAGAGAAGTGCCAAAAAGCCCAGCTAGCTTGGGATAATTACCCTATATTAGTGGTACTTCAGAATAGGAAATTGATAAGGTAATTAACATGGCTGCATAACAGAATACACAACCACAATAAAAATATAATTATGTCATGACGTATCATTATCTCATTGAGAACAATAACGGATCCAATTAACCACAACAAAAATATAATTGTTATGAGCATTTTCTTCTAAAATTCAAGAAGAAGAAAAAATCACTAAAGCAATTTTTGGCTTGTCTTCTGGGGATGACGAGTCCATTCTTCACACCAACTCCTTCACATGATGAGAACCCTCTTATTTGATGCATCATATACAAGTTAAGATCATTTATTCATTACTTCTAATAACTAAGCAGAGAGTTATCACTCATCAGAAACTCCACAAACTTGAGTTGGTACCAAGTGTTGAACAACCATCACTCCATCATATTGAGCACAACCTCTTTTACTATATTGACTTTGAAAATCTTGATAGTTGTGCTATTATAAGCCTTACTTGCATCATGTACAGACATGAAGAGTCCTAGCCAAAACCGCACACTATTACTACATATTTGTGCAACCCAGTTCCCATTTTTTTCGATGCATGAGACATGGAAACTTTGCAAAGGATTCATAGCCATATTGTCAGTTGGAATAGAACATTTGAATACGCATCTTCTGTTCTTGCATTTTCCCCACCAATTGCTAATGCTTTCGTGCTTGACATGTAACTTCCATTTAGATTCTACCTACGGCAAAAAAACTTAAATATCAAATTTCTTCATTTTGTTGACGTGCATTTGTGTGTAAATGTCCAAATATTTATGTTTTTCTTTTTTGATCAAAGTGTGTGATAGTCAAAATATATACTACAACATGAGCAAAAACATATCCAGGACGTATGCAAAAATACAGTGTCAACTATGAAATTAATATACCTGAATTCAGCGGTGTACAGTTCCCGACACAGCATCGAAAAAATTTCAACCACAAACTAGAACTCTTATATATAGTGATATAAATATATGAGACACAAGTAGAATCCAGAAGAAATATGTTACCAAAAATAATTTAAATGAAAACCACAAGCCATGCAGCAAACAAAAGAAAATGGCAAAAACATACAGTCTTAACTACAAAATAGAAGGTTATAGTTGAATATTCCAACAATGCACCAAAGCCAAAATCATTAATGATGCAATGCAAGTCACACGTATGTAAATTCACACCTACAAATTTTAATTCTATCATTTATCTAGCATATAACGGTAACAATATCAACAACTCTAAACAATAACAGAAGTACTGGCAGTACCTTTCAAAACAACAAAACTGCACAGCATATTCAACAGCCAACAAGACTTCAAAACTCATTTCGAAGACAGATCACATAATAAACTAATGAAAAATGAGATAAGCAATTGAATCTTGAAATGAGGTATATTTTAACATATTACGTATTATCAATGTAGTGACATCTAGTCATATACTTCAAAAAGAAATTCAAGCTCATAATGTTTTTAATTCCACAAATTATACTGAAGAAAACGGGAAACTGTAAACCCTGATAAAATTGCTTATCCTCTTCTAAGTAATCACAAAAGGGTATACACTTTCAGATTCAAGCACACAACCAAGGTTTTAAACTGTGGACCGCATCACCTGATGATGCTGCAACATCTCAGTTGTAGCTGCCACTGCAACTGCTTCAGGCTGTGATAATGCAAGCATAATATAACAAGACAGCAACTGCAATTTAAAACCCTGCACATAACAAAGCACCATATTATTATGACTTTCCGATGAAATAATATGCAACAAAATCGGTTGACTTAAAAATAATATAAAAGATTATGTTCTTGCTCCATTCCTATAGTCAAATCCAGTTGATATTTCTAGAATTGCTTCTATTTGGGAGCATCTTGGTTTAATTTATATCCCTTTCATAAGTGTGCACTATATGGTTAGTAACAATTTCTGCACACAAAGAATTGTCTCAAGAGGCTTATTTCAACAAGTTTTGCAGGAAAGCCTTTTAATCTTTTGTAGATAGAGATAAAACCCATTGGTGAGTCTTCACCTAATATTTGAAGCTATTGAGATGAATGGTTCCTTCAAATACACAACATCAGAGCCAGCTATTGAAGCAAAAGAGAGAACTGAATAGTATGAGAGATAGAAAGAAAAATAATGAATCTGTTACTGGTAAGTGAAATTTGAATAGAAAACAGAAGAGAGACTTCTCCTTCCAAGGGTTTCCCCTTCCAGAAGAGAGTCTTTGCTCAGTTCTCAATTCTAAATTCTCTCTACCATGCTCCTGCTATTGAAGCAAAACTCCCTGTACCTAACTACCCATTCCCTTCATAGATTCTAAGTTAAAATCTCGATTTATTAGTATGTTTTTACGATTTTTTTTTCATCAAAACAATTATACGTTTTACAATTTTTTATTTCCCTTCTGATTTTACGTAAAATCTCGATTTTAACTACCTTGACTATAACAAACTAATTAAACATCCAAAGTAATGAGGCCAACTAGAACCTTGTTCCTTTTTATTCTTCTAGGTCCTATCAAGTAATGAGGCCAACTCTTGCTAATCCCTTTCTCTTAGCTAAATTAGATTTCAAAACAAGACAATACTGGTTGTCATGGTCTTGTCTACAACCAAGTCCCAAGCCCATAAGGCTTTTGATAGGTGAAGTTACAAATATATTTTATTCGTAACATATACCTTAAACTTCTAGGATGAGTGGCTAGTTCATTGACATTTAATTCCTTTTTTTTTAAATATTTTAGCTCAGTAAGCAACACTAACCACCATGGCCGGCCTTGAATGCAATGTCTCTTCATCCAATTAAGCTTATGGGAGAGTGAAAATGCCCTTAAGCCCAAAGGTTAAAGGCCAACCACGAAATCTTACTTGATAAACTCATAATGGTTATGAAGATTTAAGTGAAATACACTGATCTTAACAAAGCTTGATTAGCTATACCCAAGCCAGTAGGAGTTATGACTATAAATCGTTTTTTAGGACAAAATGTAATCACTAGAGGGTAAGGCTTCTCCAATCCAAAATTAAAATTGTGTTAAGGAGGAACTTTATTTGCACCCCAAAAAGCTAAATCAAGTTTTAGTAATGGAAAATACTACTTGGCCAGAATTTATTTGCCATAATAAGTTGCCAGGCTTATTGACTCTTGTGCGAATGAGTATTAAGTAGTCCTTACTAGGGGCCTTTGACTCGGCTCGTGAAGGCCTGAGCGTACATGTCTAAAATTGATTGTTGGAACAATGCTTGGACTTGTATAAAAGCTCGTTTAATAAAAAGGGCTCAGGCTCCAATTCAAAAGCTCGGCCGTAGAGCCTCTCAGGCCGGCCTAATATATTAATTTTTATTTTATTTTAATTTTTTATACTACTTGTGATAGCTCTCTCTCTCCTCAATCCATTTCATCCCATTTTATTAATTAAACATACTTTTTGAATGATTTTGTTTTATATTATGCTGTTTGGATATACATTAAATTTATGAATATTTATGGAATTACTAGTGCTGTTGATTGTATATTTGCTTGGATAAATTTTTGTTGTCTTATTTTTTTTTTAAACAGGCTAAACCAGGCTTTTATTTTTTGTAAATAAGACAGGCCACTGGATGAAATTATATTAATAACAGGTAACAGGCTTGGTCAGGCTGACACATTTAAACACAGGCTTAGCCTTTTAAGACCAAAGCTCGGCTCGGCTCGATCCGTTAACACCCCTAGTCCTTACCACTTTGTTTGATCTAATGACGACCCTTGAATCTAACTAAAGTATGACTAATTTTTCAGTCACATAGGACTATACTCTTGGGTAGTTAAACATTTCGATATGGAATTAAGAAATCTCCGAGCATACTCAAAGTTGTTGGCATAGCCTAAATGTAATCAAAGAGACCATCAACAATACAAGATGTCCCTTAATACTGCTTTTCCTATAATAACCTAGGCAGCACATAAATGTATCCTCATGTCATGTAACAGTTAATAGAGGCCTACCTACTTTTATTTTGCAAGCAGCATGGTTACCACAACCAAAATGGCTATGGCCAGAACCTGATAAATTAAATTATCCTCATGTCATTGTTCAGTGCATTCAGGGCTATCTACTGTTATTTTGCAAACATAATTACCGCATCCAGAATGGCTATGGCCGCAACCTGATAAATTAAACTGCACCAATGTTTTTAAATCCTATATGTCAATATTTACTTATTACTTGTTAGTTCTCATTGTGATTTATTCATTTTAGATCCACTTATTTAGTGTTCATATTCCTCTTAAAGTGAGTTGTTTCCTCACGGGACATGTCTTGTGTGATGTTGTACAACAGACAAGTATATCACAGCCACAAGAGCAACACCTTTAAGATAGATAATATACCTTATCTAATGAATTAAATGACCCAAATTCAACCAAGATACTAGTAGAAAATACTACTCTCAGCCACAATTCTATACAATGAATTGCTCAAACCTCTCACCACCAACGCACTCCTAATGACTACTTAAGATAGAAAAGTCTTTGGGATAACAAAAAGGCATGCAAGTTGTATATGAGCAGCCTTCAAGGAGGTAACAGGAATCAATGAATAGCTTAAATGGAGAATATCTGAGAACGAAAACAAAAAAACAAGTCCAATTGTTTCAATTGGAAAAAGATAAACAGGAGTGACTTCAAATTCATTATAGAATATCTTCATATGCATGGTACTTTCCTTCCCACTGTAAGGGCAAAGTAACATCTATATTTAGTTTTCAAGCAATACAAAATGTGCTTGAGAGAGAGAAAGATCAACTTCATACATCTACAAGAATGAATTATATATCCAAGCAAATCTAGTGCCACAATAAAAGTTAAAAGACTTGAAGGTTAAAAATATTGATATACTAGTTTTTACAAGTGGATATTTTTTTCTTTCAAAACATCACTTTTGTTTTAACATATCGTATTTCAAATTTTATATGCTTTCAAACAATGATATATGGCTCTAACAAATACTTGATTATAATAAACAATAATAATTCAAATTTTAAGCAAGCCAAAGGACATGGAATTTGCTGATTTCTAGACATTGAAAAGCGTATCACAAAAGGATACTACAGAAAAGGACTGGAGCAAGTTGAATTCAGAAACAAAACGGGGGGAAAAAAAAAGGAAATACTCGAGAGATGTATATTAAGCATTGGAAACAAATTGGAAGAATAAAACAAATAGACAAACTTCATAAATTACAACACACATGCAAAGAAGTTTGCACTCTAGGGAAGTAATAGTTTAATGAAGCCACTGCTCACTAACATTAGCATCAGCTTTTAAGGGAAATTGTTCTTTACTACCCAATTATCTATAACCATCGGTGGTATTGATTCATACACACTCCAAGGCAGCCCATACATGCATAATCCAACCACTATCATGGTCAAAGTTATCAAATCGCAATTCAAATCATGAATCCCCAAGCTAAATTTTGAATTGTGAATTGTAAATTATATCAAATTGTAAGATTCAAAGATACAATGAAACTTGAAAAATATCATATAAGTGATTATAATGCTCAAGGTAATATAATTTTAAATTAGGAACAAGGAATTGAAAAGTGACTCCAGGAAACCTATGTTTCAGAAAAATGAAAACAAAGTTATAATATAACCAAATAACTAAGGTGCATATACAATATGATTGAGTGACTATGTGAAGCCTCTCTTTTAAAAGAGCACAAATAGAGCAATGGGAGAGCCAAAAAGTATAGTGAGTATATATGACTGGGAAACCCATGCATGTCTCAGAAGAATGAAAATAGAGCTATGAAATATCAAATAGGGTCATTCAATAGCGCTCATTTAATTCCTTTTCATTTAACAATTTAAGTTTATTTGACCTTTCAATTTCTTTTATGAGAATTGAAGAAAGAAAATAAACAAATAAATAATGAATTTTTGAATCGTTTGATTTGTATAGGTGGTACAGAATCACATTGAAATTTTCGTCAAGCCAGTAATCCTTCATGATGTTGATCATAACTTGCTCAATGATGTCACCATCCACATGAGAGGTACCTAAACACTACCATTACAGTGACTAACATTTGCTTCACCTCTCATATGCTCAATAGTTAGTGTTCCATTCATTTTCAAGAGTTACTCAAAACAAAAGAGGTTAATTACATGAGTTTCAAAATTGAACTTCAATTAATAATAGACAATTCAGTTCTTTTTATAGTTTTTTCTCTTATCCTACCTGGAGAAGAATAAAACATCGGCATTTACACTCTCGTTATAATTTTGGTTACTAATACAATGAAATAACACAATTCCATCATATTACCATATTTGCCAAGCCCTTAGTGGGCTAAAAACTTGAACAAACATAAAGAAGTTCAAAAAATGAAACTCGGAAGACACTTCATCCATTATACCCTAATTAAACATAAATTCATCCATTATACCCTAATTAAACATAAATTCATCCATTAAATGCAATGAATGGTGATTTTTCTACATATGTTATGCCATAGAGATTTATGTAGCACTAGATACTCCACTTTTCTAGGATAATTACGGTAGCATACATGAGGGGGTTTCTCAAACATGCTCATGTCACTTAATGACCTTTGTTTCCCCCTCCTTCCCTTTCTCCATCATTCCCTCTCTTCCTTGAATTTTATGTGATAATCGTGATCAATTAAACTAAGACTCATACCATACCTGAGTGATTATACTATTGTAGTGCTTCAAGTTCTTCTGGACACAGTTCTGTGGTGACACCGACCAAACAGTAAAGCTGAAAAATAAATATTTTCTCAAGTGAAACTTTAATGAAATAAAAAAAAATAAAAAAAAAATTCTGAGAATGATCAGCTAATTCGAAAATATCTAACCTGAATAAGGAAAGTTGCTAGCTGCTTGAATTTCTTTTATCACGGTAGCAAACAAATGCATACATATGCCCACAAAGGGAAGGAATAAATCTAGGCATATTTAGCTGATGGGTTTCCTTTACCTCAGGCTACAAAATAAAAAAACGGCATTCAAGGAGACAGAAGATATAGTTTAAATATATGCATCATCTGATTCTGACCCTTCAAATTCAAAAACTTTAAAAATATTATATATATATATAATTAAGCTAAACCCATGATTTGCCCTTTTCTGATGGCTTCTCTAAACTGCTACTTATCAGGAGAACAGCAAATCAGAACAAAAGGGGGCTAGGCACAAATTCTGAACCAGATTGAAGGCGAGAAGGAGAAAAAAATAAGAATAAAAAAACAAGGGTTTGACGAAACCTCACCCAATATCCGTTAAATGATGAACAGTAACAGAGACAGTAACAAGGCGTACCTTCAAGAACTCCATTTGGGTTCGTGTCCACCGTGAAGAAAGTACCATAAAAAGTCACGCTTTGAAACTCCATCACAGTTGCATAAACCCATACATATAATATAATATAATATAATATTATGTGATAATAATATATAATATGAGAAATAAAGAAATAGAGTAAAACACAAACAGATAAGGGTGAACTAGAAACAACGAAAGGATAATAGGCAGATAGGTGGTCATATATATATATATATATATTCTTAATTCCTCCACTAATTAGAAGGATGATCATGTAATATGTGTCATTTGCAGGGCTATAATTATCATCCATTGGCTCAGAGAAATGACTAGAAGAATGAGACAAGTGTAGGTGAAAAAATGGAAACAACACACCAGAAGAAGAAAGAAAAATGAGAATCTGACAGAAAGAAGAGCGAGCACGCACCCTCAATTGTATGCAATCATACAATCACAAGTAGCGTGTGCTCACTCTCTTCTGTCAGTCTCTCAGGTGTGTGTCCCTCTTTTCAATATTCAATATTGTAATTGTTGTCATGGTTGAGAGCTGATTGAACACAGAACATGATGAAGATTCATTTTGTTCTTCAGCTTTCCAGCTTGAAACTAATTAAAAAAAGGTGTATGCTCTCTCTCTCTTTTCTGAATTTTGATGAGTCAGTCAGATCAGAAACCTCATATCCTCCCATCTTTGGCAAAGTGCATAGCTATATATATGCAGCACTCCACTCACCCATAATCTATTCTAATAAATGAATTAGGGTTGTTAAATTTTCTTTGTTGCTTGCTTGCTTTCTGTTTCTGTCCCCCATTTCCTTTTCTCTAACAACCAACACTCAACATTTCCCAACTTTTATATCCAAACCCTTTCAGATTTTTGTTTTTCCCTGAAATTAAAAAAAAAAAAAAAAAAAAAAGACTTTTTGACTTCCTGTGCAACTCCACTGTGTTCAACTCCATCTGGGTTTGATTTAGTGACTTCCAACTTCCAGCTCCATCTAATTCTTCTTGTTACAGTAAGGTTCCTGTTCAGGAACGGCAAACAGGACAAAATAGTACACAAACACGACACATACAACAAACACCAACACCTACAGTGGAACAAGGACAGAGTGGGAACGTAGGACAAAGGACGTAATAAATATCTATTGGTCGAACCCACAAAAATGGTGGTCGATTTAATAATTAGTATCAGATTACGGCATTTTTGACCGTATTAGTTCGTTTTTTTCAAAAAGTTTGACGGAATTAATTTTGGTAGACTATCGTATTTAGACACGACATCTTAGTTATCACGTTTTTCCTGGTAATAAATTTAATGAAAAATTTAATACCATCAAACTTTTAAAAAAATGAACTACTACGGTTAAAAACCCCAAAAACCAATATTATATATAGGTTGGTTAGGGTGTGGAATCAATTTTTTTTTTAATTTTTGCTTCCGAGGACAAAAATGGATAGAAAACACGTTTGGTAAAATTGGTTTATTTTTTTGTTCCGGAGATGAACCAATTTACTTTTTGTGCTGGGGAACAGAAAAAAGAATAAAAAATTTTCTATTTTTTTATTCATGGGAACAAAATAAGAAGCACTTATCTCTCTCAATTACTCTCCACCACTACCATCATCACCACCGCCACCACAATCTCGACACTACCACGGCTACCATCGTTGTACTACCACCACCACCTTCATGTCACCACCACCGTCATTACCACCACCACTACCATCACTGTCACTACCATTATCACTACCACCGTCACCAACCACCACCGTCACCATCATCGAAGCCACTGCCACCCCCACCACTACTACTGCTATCGTCGTTGTCGCCACCGCCGCCACCATGTCATCTCCATCACCATCGCCGTAGACACTGCTGTCACCACCACCATTATCACGTCGCAGCCACCGCCACCACTACACCACTGCCACCGCCACCACCATGTCATTATCATCACCATCGTCGCAGCCACTGCCGTCACCATCACTACCGCCGCCGCCGCCACTATGCCACCATTACCACCATTGTCGCTGCCACCACTACCATTATCATGCCATTGCCACTGCCACCGCCGCTACATCATCGCCACCGCCACCACCACCACTATTGCCGCCACCACCATCGTTGTGGCTACTAGTGTCACCACCACCACCTCTACGTCACCGACACCATCACCATCATCGTCACCACCATTATCCCTACCATCACCGTCACCATCACTACCAACATCGCCGCAACTACTACCGTCATCACCACCACACTACTACCACCACCATGCCACTATTACCGCTGTCACCGCCACCATCATGCTATCACCTCCACCATCACCACCACCATGACGCCACCACACCATATGAAAAGAAAAGTGATGATTCGAAAAAAAATTATGCTTAATAGGAATGATTTTTTATTCTATTATTTGTTGTGTTGTCAAACGCAATTCTCATTCTCGGAATAAAAATAAAACATGTTATCAAATATTTTTTTTTTAAAAAAAATTGTTCCAAGGAAGAGAAATGGAAAAGATTTGTTTCTTTTCAGAAACAATGACAAGGAACAAAATGGTTGCCATGTATACCCTTAAGCTTTTTATATTGATTAGGGCTGGCAATATGGGCCGGCCCGCCCCGGCCCGCCACTAGCCCGCCCAAAATGGGCTGGCCCGCCCCGGCCCGTTTTGACAAAATGGGTTGAATTGAGTAACCCGGCCCGTTTTATGAGTGGGCTGGCGGGCTACGGGCCAGCCCGCCTAAAATAAAAAAAATATAAAAATAAAATACAAAAAATTAAATTCTGCATAAAATCACATAAAAAAATCTGCATAAAAGCATACAAAAATCTGTATAAAATCCTAATGTGCTTATGAAACCAAGAAGATCAGTGTTTAATAATCTGCATATAAATATGCATCTTTCAATCCAAAAATAATAATAAAAAAATAAAATCATATCAGGATAAAATAGAATAACAAAACAAGTAACAAAGTGTTGTATGAGCAGTCCACAACAATTCAAAAAAGCCACTTGCAAGCAGAGAAATCTAAGATACGGAGCTACATAACAATTGGGTAACCTAAAAAAAAAAAAAAAAAAAATGACTTGGCGGGCTGACCCATATGGGCTGGCGGGTTTGGCGGGGCGGGTTGGGCGGGCTGGTGGGTTGAAAGACTCAACCCAGCCCGCCCCATTTGGCAGGCGGGGCGGGGCGGGCCAGCCCGGCGGGCTCAGCCCATTTTGCCGGCCCTAATATTGATTGAGTATGGGGAATTTTTTCAACTTTTTTTTTCCTTAACAAATAGTCAAGTATATATTTTTTTAAAATTTTACATAAAAAAAGTTTTTTTATGACGAATAAAAAAAGTTAAAAACTCTTAGACGAGGCGTTTTTATTAAGATTGGAAATAGTTTATTTATTTTATATAAAATAATTTCCCATGTTACACTCATAATTAAAATGTGGGTCTCATCTTATTTTTTTATTTTCTCGCTTTTTGTGGACCCACTCAAGTATTGTGTGTGTAACATAAGAAAATATTCTCATATAAAATGAAAAAATTAATCTCCTATTAAAATATACACAATTTTTTTAGAATTAATCAAATATATTTCTATAAAATTCTTACAATGAAAAAAAATTAAAAGTTTATAGGAGGAATTTTTTTTAAGATATGAAGAAACTTTTTAAAAAAAAATAGAATTTATTTTTTCAAATAACTTTTTTTTAATTTGAATTTTAAAATAAACTTTAATTAAAATTATATTTTTATGGCTAAAAGATACTTTTAAGTTAAAAAATGTAGTATAAAAATTATTTTAAAGTTCAAGTTCAAAAAGGAAAAAGTTGTTTGATAAACTGACTGATAATTCTTTCTAAAATTTTGGTGTACATCTTAAAAAAAAACTCCTTCAAAGACCTTTTAATTTTTTCTCTTTTTATTCATTATAAAAAAGTTATGATAAAATTTTTTACAAAAATATGTTTGATTAAGTTTCTCCCTTTATAGAAAAAAGAAGTTAAGAAAATATCCGGTACAAAAAATTTAAGCTCATATTTTTTGATTTAAAATTAACTTTTAATATAAAAAAGACATGTTAGACAAGCTCTTAATTTAAGATTCAAACAAAAAGAAAAATAACTTTAGAAATTATATACTTTGAAAATATTATCATTCCACTAAAATCATAACACATGGCATTGATAATTAGGCATGTTGTTTGATTACTAAAGAAATATTTTAAAATTAAATCTTGACTGTTCCTAAACTATTGATCGAGTATTACTATTAAGTATAACCGACCCTAATACTATTATAAGTCTCACGTTGATTACCTATATAATTAATGTGGCTTTACAAAGCTATGAGTACTTCTTTCCTTTGAACTAGTTGTTAGGATGATAACCTCACGTAGAGGCCTACTTATAGGCTATATTAAGGTATCATACCTTTTAAAGAGTATTGCACTGGATACTGATAAAAAAGTGAAGCCGCCAAAAGACAAAAAAGTTACCATCAGAAATCTTTAACCCATATAATATATACTGGAATTGGCGTGCGTAAAAAAATAGAGGAGAATGTTGTATTTTATTTTCTGAAGATTTACTTCTTTTATTATTACTATTATTTTGATACATGAAGAAAATTAAAAAGCAAAAAAACAAAAGAAAGAGCATCAACCGACACCCCTAACTCGATGAGTGGCTGAGGAGTCCGCAAGTAAAATCATGAGTAATCGAAAAAGACCAAATCATCATCCATATCTGAGCGGTCGAGTAGGAAGTTCGTCAGGTAATCGGCATAGAAATTAGTCTCCCTCAACGTGTGAATAAAGTGAACCTGCCAATTACGTTTGATCATTACTTGAATTCGAGTCACCAAAAATGACTCACGAGCTTTCCCACTATGCCTAGTGAACAACGCGACAATAGAGCTTGAGTCGCTCATATTTAAAATATACTACCTTTTTCTTTTATTTTTAAAATGCATCAAATATAAAATAAAATTTACATATCATATTTCATCTTGTTTATTATTTTCCTTCTTTTGGATAAATATTGTTTTATTTATTGCGTCATTCATTATATAATAGACATTAGTTTAATAATTACCATGTAAAATATACACATAATTTTAATTTTTTATTAAAGTCACGTAGCTTCTATGACTTGTAATATGTTTAGATTGTAAATAATAAATCATAATTTGATTTAATAAAACATGTTTTATTTTACTTCTACTCAAATTATATTTTAAGATTCAAAAACATATTTAAATACAATTCAACTAAAATTTTGTAAAACATATTGTTTATAAATAAAAGTCAATTTACTTGATTTTTTTTTGTAAACATATTGTTCCTTCATAACTGAAAGGTCATGGGTTTCAAATCCAGGAAACAGCATCTTTGCAATTATGCAAGGATAAGGCTGCGTACAAAGATTTTTTTCACCCCACACTCGCTAGTCGGGTCTAACGGAGAGTGATTTTGAGTTTTGGTTTTGAGTTTACTTGATTTAAACTAGAGTTTCTTATTTAAAGAAAAAAAACTAGAGTTTCAAATGTGTAAATAGTAATATAAACAATACCAACCCACCTAAAAAATAAAATAGTAAAAAAAAACATCAATGTTAATTTTTTATTTGTAATCTCTAACATCTAAATATTTCTGAAGTTTAGAAAAAAAAAAGCATTAAGCAATATGTCAAAGACAAAAGAATGATTTAAGCCAATACTTTCATTTAACACAACTATATAAATCATATCTTAAGATTAATTAATAATTTTAGTGTTATTACATAACAAAATAAATGACATCAAACATGTGAATATTTACAAATGATCACATCTTTACATCATGTAACTAGAATTTAATAATCATCTAGTTTGATTTGTATAGATATCAAGATTTAAATCCAAAAACAGGTTTAAATTTCTGCTATTTTTTGTGTTAATCAACGGTGAATAAAAAATAATCTTCCTAGTAAAATAATAGTATTATGGTCCTAAAAGAAAAGTTTTTTGTCCCATTTA